TGTCCACATTACAGAACATTATGTCCACATTACAGTACATTATGTGCACATTACAGTACATTATTGAAGCTCTCGTCGAGTACCAGGTGCACCAGATGCTTGTCCTTAGGACATTTTAAATTATTTGAAAGTTTCTTATTTCAAACAATTCTGGTAATATTTTGAACGGTAAAATTGCGATTGAATTTCTAGCATTATGAACTATTCCACGTTAATGGAACTTGGTACCGAACTGTTTTTTAAAAGCATTAGTTCAATGATAGATACATACAATACATGATATCATGGAGCTTTTGAAACTAGTCTGAAAATCTGAAGTATATTTACTGGAGAGCCTTTTCATTTGAAACCGTTAACAGAAGGCAGCACGATTGAACTACATGTATTACGCTCTGTACAATTATTGTTACCTGTTTCTACATTGATATACACATATCTATATGATGTATACTTTAAACAAGTACTAATTAAGCTCCCTTTATTAGTTTTAACTATGGATGAATGAGCATGTATTGTACAGTGTAGGTGTTTTCTGATAGCCAATCAGACAACACCGTATTAGGTAGAACACGTCATCGTTGAGGTGAGATAACGATATTATGTCTAGATAGTCGTAGAAGGGACGTGGAGTCATCACCTTTATCTCAGAAAACACAAACTGGAAAGTGATTCGTAGCCAAAATGTCGACATATTCGGTAAAATAGATCTAGAGTTAAGCTACAGACATGCATTGTTTACTTTGTTTGACGATGTTATCGGCCGTTATAGTAACACTGTTGCTTGTAGCCGGTCCTACCCCCGGGATAGGAGAAATGTCAGTCCCGGTGAAGATGACATACAGTACCATCTACCGTATCAGATCGAGGTCGTTCCTCCTCTCGGGACTCTTCTACATCATCCACGATGTATCTGATATCCAGTGTTACGCTAGATGTCTACTTTCCACGAGATGTTTGTCGGTCAACTACAAAAGGGCCAATCAAATGTGTGAGATTTCCAACGTGACCGTGGCCACAGCTTCCTCTGCCACGCCCATCGATCTGATGAACAACGACGAATACCACTACATGGACAAATTGGACTTCCCCGCCGTAAGTTAAATCATCTAACAATATAAATAGTAAAATACAAGAGTATTATTATTTATGAAAGGGTTAACTTGACCCGGTTGAAATGTTATGATATCGTTTAGTTTAACAAACCATTAGTGATAATAGTGTACGCTTACATGTACTAGTAACAGGTATCTCTAACTCATTGATTCATTCTCAATATTCATCTAAATACAAAATTCAAAAGACAAAAAACAACTTGTATACGTATTTTATCTACTTCATTGTAACAGTTTTTAACAGTAACATCGTTCATAATATAAAACACACATACTAGCCATTGGGAAGTCTTTAACATGTCACTGTGCTATATAAAGTAATCCACGGCATGTTTATCCGTTAAGTATATTCGTTATAAAACAGGGATTGATTGGACAATGTGGTGACAGTTCTGATCCAGTACACAGCTGTGGAATTCAAAGTAGGTATACTACATGTTGGTCGAAGTTATTTCTAGGACCACAGTACACATACCATATACATATAAATTTGGCTATTGTAAAGAAACATGTATTTCATAAGCCTCTATCCGTAACTATGATATTTCAAAATCAGAACAAATGAATATTTTCATTAAAACGATGGTAAATTGGTTTGTTTTCTTGCAAGCCCCTAGCTGTTCTCTTGACGGAGCAATCGACCACATCATGGAGGAGAAAGAAAATCAGCTTCTTGCACATAGCTCGTGTCTTATTAACGGACTTACGGAAATGTGTGATACCTCCAACAAATCGTGGCGTCCTCATACACCAAACTGTGCAGGTAAGCAATGGGGCTGGGGCTGGGGGCTCGGGCTAGAGGCTGGGGCTGGGGGCTTGGGAATGGGGGCTGGGGGTAGTCCTTTATTAGCCAAAAGTCCTTAGGCTTATAGGTGCATACATATATGCATATACCATTCTCTAAACATAATTAGAATAGACAGGAGAGTGACATCACAGTATACATAAAACACCGTTCAATAATATGCATCTAACAATACTTAATTAACACATTACAGTTATGAAACACCACAATACATAAACCTTAAATTAAATGCTAAATATAAATATTTTCCTAAATTGGATAGCTCTCTAACATTATTCATACTAAGTAGTTGTATTAATTTAAAAATCGAGGGTTTTCTGTAATAATATTGTTTGATTAATCTGTGCCTGAGATCGCTATAAAATAGAAAAATCAAAATAAAATGAAACTCGTCTTCTATATCTGTCAAATTACATTTGTTACAAATCCTGTTTCTGCATGTGACGTTATGATGTACTCCAATTTCTATATTTAATTTATGAGACGATATCCTAAATTTAGTTAACATTTGTTTGTATTTATTTTCAATAGGTTTACTTAAATAAAATTGAATACAATGACTATCTATTAAGTGTTGATATAAAACCCCTTTAGGAGAAGCCGTTACTTTTGACAATATGCTTTGTTTGGAAGTATCTATCAGTCTCTGTTCTATTATTTTAAAAGAAACATTAAATGGTAATGAACGGT